GCACTCACACTCTTATTTTAGTATTGTACGCACTTGAGATCCTTCTGGCCAAAATGCATGGTAGTTGTTGTATTATTATTTTTCATGTAAAATCTTAGACTCTTCTAGCTCTCGATAATTTTTCTAGCTTTCTGCTTTTGTAAAGTTCTGATGATATGATATTGTAACTTGATAGAAACTACTCAATCAATAAAATTACAAAAAAACCAAAAACTTTATTCTTTTTTCTTCTTTCATCTCGACAGTAGTGTACTCATTAAGAAAAGGCTTATATCCGAATAGAATAACTAACTACTCATCATATCGTTACAGTTACCCACAACTCCTCTCTCATCCCTCACCTTCACACCCTCACCTGCAGCCTCACACCATCATTCTCATATGGAAAAACTTTCGCTTAGAGCTGGTATCAAACTTCGTGTCTCACTTCTTCGTATTCATCCTCTTCTGTTCGAGAAATATAAAACCAAATTGGGAGGAAGTCTTTTTCTCCTCGTTGCGATATGTCATAACGAAGTAACACGTTCTGCAGTTACATGTTAATAGAAAAAAAAAGTGACAACATTGTTTTGTTATTTGCTCGCGGAGGCGACCAATCAATATCAAGGTAAGTAAGAGGCTGATGGTGGCTTTTAAGTATTGAGATGTAAACGAAAAAAAAACAATTTTGACTAGAAGTTGTGCAATGTACTGTCGCTCTTTTCTTTTATGCACGAACTTACGCAGCAACGTATACCTTTTCTTTTGCAAATTCAAGATAATATAGCTTATCTACTGTACAATTTCAGACAGAACAGAAGAAAAATTATATTTGTTTAGTGACATGAGTTTTACGTCAACATAAGAAAGATGGAACATTTTCGCCGAAAAACGACCAGTAAGCAGCAGAATGCATTTTTTTCAACCTATTCCTTTTTAGACGATTTCTCGTCTATATATCGCCATCAATTGTGAATCTTTTCAACACACTCAAAGTTGGTAATGATGGCAATGCTGGGACAGGAAACGATTAAAAAAAAATCAATTCCTCTTCCTAAGCCTCGCACCTCTAAAGCTCGCAAACTTTCACGAAAATTTGTCATTCCAGTCGAGATCATTAGTTATTGTCATGTCGTTTGGCTCGGTACTCATTCAAGAGATACAATACCCATATTTGCTCGTGATCTTCTAAAGCAGATTACTTTTATCGATACTGCAGTCGATTGCATTGAACATATTACTTCCTTAGTCACACCACAACAACATATCATACTTATCATATCCGACGAATATGCAACAGATCGTAAAGTAATTGCTCACATGCTCAATCTGAATGAAATACAAATGATCTATATCATTCTTGACAGTTATCAACAGGAAACTATGGATTGGTTCTTCAACGATACAAGAATAGTACTCATTTTCAATGATACATTCACTGTTCTTAAGCAATTTCTAGGCGAGGAAGTTGAAAAATCGACTCACTTTGATGAACAGGTTCCGAACGTTCAGAGAGCAGCCAAAAAGGATATGAAAAGTGTCGAAGTGCTTGTATCAGCGGATAAATCTCAAAAGCCTGTTCGAATCGAGCAAACATCACCTTCACATATTCAAACTGAGATAAGCGTTAGAAAAGAACGAACAACGACGGCTAAGCAGGTCGAAGAACCAGCATCATCTTGGAAAGGTTTTGTAACTATTACAGGCATCACACATGTCTTCACATAATCGATGTATATATATGCAGACTCGTTTCATATGTGTCATTTCTTTTTCATTCTTCTTCCTTTTCTTTTTCGTTCCTGCAGATCGGCATTCTTTTTTCTTTTTTGGTTTGCTTTATCTGGCATTTGAGCTAGCGAGAGTGTGAAGATAAGTCGAACAGACTTGATCTCGCATAGTAACAATGGAATACCAGTACTTTGTGATAAGAACGCCTTTAGCCAGAGTGCAAGACGCATTCAATGAGAGAACAGCCGCAGCAGAACGATATATGAATCGCGAGCCGTCCATACCAGATAATGATCACTTAGAATCTTAACTTAAGCCGTTTATCATGCACTGGCATCCACCTGGATCAAGTCTTCGGACTGTTCGACGATATCACCAACAGTGAAGTTAACAGTAGTCTTCCTATCACATAACGTACGCTATAGCTATACTCACTCATTGTTGGCATGATAAAGGATATATCAAATAAGAGATTACATACAGCAGACTTTGCACTATCAATTGGTGTAAAAAGCAAAGTTTCACATGATTGACACACATTTTATCTTTGATTAGATGCATGTGAAGAATAGGTCGTCAGTGCTCAGGTGTATGATGCAAGAGGAAAGACTAGTTTCTTATATTAGAAATCATTAGAGGGTGAATACTTGTTGGAAGATGGATTATTCCATGGATTCTATGCTCCTTCTAACGGGTGTCTTAGACAAAATGGCCCTCTCAGTATTTTACTGATATCTCCATCAATTCTTATTCGTTCAGGCTAAGCTTTTTTTTTGAAAGACTCGCCTTGTTATCCTCTAGAAGAATCTACAATTCGTATTTCATTCAACCGTATATTGTTTTTGCTATAAGATGGAAAGTAAAGATCTTCAAAAAGTAGTTTTTTCTAAGTAAGAAGATAGTCATGGCCCAACTAAGATCTTTCGTGATCTGAATGATGCTTTGGGATTACGTACTATAAAAAGATGGTGCACGATAATCCGTGACACCGGTTCTGTCCAACTATCAACACCGCCGAGCAGACCACGTATTGCTCAAACCAGTAGAATGATTCAAAAAGTCAAACACAAGCTGAACCAAAAGAAGCTGGTATCAGTCCGAAGTTTGGCTAAAGAATACGAAAAAAAATTCAAAATGTTTGCGCGTTTTCGTTGCTCATCTCCTCACGTCTGTAACAAATAAGTAAACGAGTATGTATCAAGTGATACGAGTCTTTTTTAGGTGAATCCATGGGAAAAAGCTGTTAGCACAATCCATTTGGGGTTTAAAATGTTAAACACGAACTCCATATACCCTCAGAATACGAGGCCCTTCCTGATAGAAGGTCTCCACTGATCCAAAGCTTCCCTTCCCGCCCAAAGGGATCGTTCCATACAGATTTTGTTTTTTCCGGCGGAATCATTCGTTGAGGGTGTAGGTGAAAAGAGTATCATCATCAACACCCACACCCTCTCAGTTATGCAACTTGACAAATTCTTTCAGAACTCATAGTTCTTGAATGCATGCGAAACCTATATGAATGATCTTGAGTCGGTATTATTTTTAGAGTCAATTTCAATATATCAAAATTCAGGATTTACAGGACTAAGGCTACAGCAACAAAACTTAAGGTACTATACTAGAAACAGCAAAACAATGAGAAAAAAATGTACCAATAAAGAAATGCAAAAATAAAATAATAAATATGAAAATGTATAGTCTAGTTGTTGATTAAAAAAATGGATCATGATCAACTTGAAATGATATCAGTCTCACTGGTGGGACCACTTTTTCGATTCATAATGATCACCCTCAAAAATCATTCTAAGTACTAGCTATGAATAAAAACTCTCGCTAAATAAAAAGCAACTATTTTTATTTCAATTCTAGTGTTACATTCGATAGACATATTCAGATTCTAATGACATCTATTGTAAAGTAACTTGTGCAATTTTTGATAGATTGGTCGTGGTCTCGTTCTCTTGTCTTATAGTGAGTCAGCGACTAGAACGTTCTGTCTTGACTGTAATGGAGTAGTATTTTTTTCTTATTCACCGTGATAAATTTTTTCGTTCTGTTTGATAATATTGACTCAGCCTGTGCATCCTCTATATAAAGAAGCAACACACTTGTCGACAGCATCCACAAGATGCTTCGAATTAGTCACAATCAAGCCACGTCTATGCTTCTCAGGCATCCACAACAACCTGAGTATGTACCTTTGCAGCGAGTGAATATTGAAGCAACAATTCGTGCATTTGCTGCCGATGTAACTATTACACAAGTATTTCGCAACAATGAAAAAACACCGATCGAAGCTGTTTACTGTTTTCCAATTGAAGAACAAGCAGCAATCTACACATTTGTAGCTCGAATTGACGATCGAGAAATTGTTGCTCAATTAAAAGAGAAAAAAGAAGCACAACGAGAATATAACAATGCTTTGCAACAAGGTCATGGAGCCTATCTATTAGAACAAGATGAAAAGTCTCAAGATAATTTTATCATCAACGTCGGTGCTCTACCTCCATCGAAAGAATGCACAATTACCATCGGTTATGTAACAGAATTAGATCTTGTTCAAGGATCTACCATTCGATTTGTCATTCCTACAACCATTGCACCGCGTTACAATCCCGATAAAGGTGGCATTTCATCACCGGCCGGTACCACTTCTAAATACATTCAATCAAGCCCGTATACCATCGACTTTCGGTGTCACATTGAAAAGACGCTTGGATCTCGACTAGGGCAAATTACTCGAGTTAGTTCATCCTCACATCCGATCGAAATCAATCTTACACAAGAAGATTCTTATATTGTGACATTCGCTCAGCAGAATACTCATTTAGATCGAGATATTCTGATTAATATTGATCTATCCGATAAACGAAATAGCACCATTGCAGCTGTAGAACCCGGTGCTGTGATGATTGCTTTTATTCCAACCGAAGAAGACTGTCGACAAGCAGCGAAAAATGATTTAACAAATGAATTTATTTTTGTCGTCGATTGTAGTGGTTCAATGCAGGATGAAAACAAAATCGGATTAGCTCGACAAGCCATGTTACTCTTCCTTAAGAGTTTACCTATCAATTGTCATTTCAATATCGTCCGATTTGGCTCTCAATACAAAACTCTATTCAATGAGATTGCAGCAGTTTACAACGAAACTAATGCTCAACAAGCCGAACAACTCATCGAACAAATGCAAGCAGATCTCGGTGGAACTGAATTGGTAAGTTGGATTTCTTTTCCTTTAACTTTATTTTATATTTATATCTATTTGTAGTTACAACCATTGAAATGGATTGAAGAACATTCACCTAGTCAAGGCCGTGCTCGTCAAATATTTCTTCTAACCGATGGCGAGATTTCTAATGTGACAGAAGTGCTCGATCTCTGTCGTTCAATGGCTACTTCTACTCGAATATTCTCATTTGGCTTAGGACAATCTCCAAGTCGATCGTTAGTAAAAGGTCTCGCTCGTGCGACTAATGGTCGATTTGTTTTTATTCCACCCAAAGCAAACGTCGATATATACGTTGGAGAACAATTGCAAAAAGCACTTCAACCATGTATTACCAATGTTCGTGTTAAATGGAATCTTGGAGTTCCAGCTCAGAGTGCTCCAATTCAATTACCTCCAGTCTACGTCAACGATCGTCTGATTGTTTACGCTCTGATCGATGATAAAATGGCTTCTTTTGATCACAATTCATCTGTCGAACTAGAAACCGAGTTCCATCATTATTCATTAGGTGTGGCCAAAATCGATCATATACCAAGTGTGAGCAATAACGAAACACTTGCTCGTCTGGCGGCTAAAGCACTCATTCTCGAATTGCAACACGCCAAACTACCGTCATCGAATACGAAAAGAATGGAAACAGGTTCGACACAATCACGATTCCAAGAATTGCAAGAACCGGCGGCAACAAATAAGGAGAAAATGGAAACATCATCGGAGGAGACAGTCAAACAACGTATTATTGCATTATCGTTGAAATACAATATTTTGAGTCCTTATACCGCATTTGTTGGTATCGAGAAACGAACAAATACCAGTAATATCGACATGGTCCTTCGCGAAGTACCCATTCAAATTTCTGCTGATGATCAGCATCTGCAAATGTCCATGCAAGGATCGTTTTCGACTGGTGGTAGAGGTAGAGGTGGAGGTGGACTTGGCGTTGGAGGCGCTCTTAGACATCGTAAGGTGATTGCTAGCTATTCTTACAATACTCGTGCCATGCGCTCTAACCCGACGTCATTATTAGCATCAAATACAAACCTGCAATTACAGGAAGATGGAGCATTGTTTGATAGATTTATGCCTTCGTCGACAGCTTATAAACCAACATCCTCAATGGCAGAAGATGAAGACGATACCTTCTCCGACTCAATGCCCGAGAGAAAAAGGAAAAAGTCTTCAAAAAAAGAAACATGGCCATCGAATGATCAAGATATCGTTCGACATTTGATCAACAAACAAAAATTTGACGGTCTTTGGTCTCTTGACTCACAAGATGTTAAGAACTTGACTGGAAAAACACTTGCTGATTTTCAATCGCAAAATGGTCAAGTCGATCATCAGGTACTTGTCTCAGCCATTATCATCTCCGTGCTTGAGACACGTTTTTCTGCGTTGGCAACCATGTGGCACGGTATCGTCCAAAAGGCTCGAAAGCGTCTCGCTGATTTACTTGGAACAGACTCAAAAAATCTCGATCAACTTCTTGAAAATATTCGTAAACAATTTTAAATAAAGTTTTAGTAGCAATGTGATTAAGAACAATATCACCTTTTGAAACTCATTCGAGTTTACAATTTTGCGCCACTTCTATATTAGTTGAGATGTGTGTGAGAAGATAAGCCCAGAAGATCAGCAAGTGCGTAGAACAATAGTTAAACAGATTATTTTAGAAACTACAAACCTTTCTCAAAGGGTTACAATTCAAATGGATCCTGCATTTTTTCGATCATAGGCACTTTCTGACAACACTTGAAGTTTGTGTGATTGTCTAATTGAGTAATTGGTCGAGAATTTGTCGGTTACTGAGAATGATGATTATGAATCAGGTCTAGGTTCAATGATAGACATTGAAATCAACCTTGTTAAAATAAAATACGGAAATAGGACTGGATGCTATTGGTCAAATCGAAATGATTCAAAGAACCTTTCAATTCTCATGTTTTTTCCTTCATAACAAAAACATCAATTGATTGTACATTTATTTTAAGGATGTGAAAAATACTAATATATCTTTAAAAGAGATTTTTTCGAATTGATAAAAATATTGATATTGAAATTAAACAAATATATTCAATTTAATAGAAGATTACCATATTGACTTTGTATAATTATTTCATTTGTTTCAAATCAATATCGAAAGAAAGCGACGTCTTTGAAAAAGTTCTTTGAATATTTTAACAAATTTCAGGAAGACATAGGTCAAAGAATTTTCCAAATTAACATTAACTTTACGAAAAAAAAGTCATCGACACATTTCTCATATCACTCGTTTTTTGTAAGAATATTGACGAGTATAGTTTTAGTAAATTTTAGTGTAAAAAGTCAGAAAAGATCTGATTCTTCTATTCAATTATTGAAGAAGAAGATCATTTGTTATCGAAAAGTCCTTATTGAAAATGTTTTTGTCAAATTTTCTTTTACTTAAACAAAGATAGAAAAGGATTTTCTTGCAGAATAACATTTCAAAGAACATTTTTTTTCAAACCTTTTCTTTTTTTATATGTTCATCGAGAACAAATCTTGTCGGTGTCGAATCGATTCTTGAAATGTCGAAAAGCTTTGCCTTGATTTCTATTCTAAACTTAAATTTGTTTCTTTTATTGATTAATCTTATAATGAATTCTTTCAATTGAATAACTTGAATATAAATGTTGACTATTTTGATGCTTTTTTATATAAAGAGCTTCTTCATAGTAAGTCAATGCTGTTTCATATTTATCTTGTCGAAAATAAATATATTCAACAAAATGAATGTTTGATCAGTCTGAAAAAGTTTCTTCAATTGTTCGAGTACTTTCAAAGCATATTCTAGGATGTCTGATTAACGTGACAAATCAGCATCGCAACTCTGTAAATATTAAATGAACAGGTGACAATTGATGAATGATCATTTGAAAGAGAAATCCCTTGCAGTTCTGACATTTTCACGTTGTAAGGTAATGCTGAAATGAGAAAAAGCAGATCCAAGGATCCATGAGAATTTTTCAAATGCGACTGGCATATCGAAATCTGTTAATGTACATTTGGATTTTTTAATTTCACTAAGACTTATCATCACACTTAACTAAGCAAGTCTAACTTAAAACGATGTAGTAGAGCTATTTGACTTACATCGACAAAGTTCATGTATGAAAATAACAATGAAAATACAAAACCTTCATTGTGTGAACCTTTTATTATTTGAATTTGTCGTTTCAGTTTTGTTAAGACACAATGCTATTGAGATTATATCATCGTTTTGTGTTAGGGCACCAATAGAACAAAAAATACTCTTCAATTGTGTGAAATCGGATTTAATTGGCGGTGTCAAAAGTGTTGCTAAAATAAACAAATGGAAAATGCAAAACAGAGTAGAACAAAAGTATCTCTAAAAAGTTTAGGAAAAGATTTTATTGGTGTTATAACTCGTCCAACAAGTGAATTAACTGATTTAACAAATCATTGATTTAATTTGATAAAAAGACTTGCAATTGATGAAAATCTAATTGATCATATTCGTTATCCTCGTCAGACTGGGTGTGATAGAATTATTCAACCATCAATTCCTTATGAAAAATTTCGATAAATTAGAAAAATAAAAATAAATCTTTTGTTTTAACTTGAATACTCTAGAAATAAAATGGAGACCAGTGATGGGGTCGGCTCGATTCGATTCAGAATTTTTCTTCAGATCGACGACACCCCATACATCATTGGCCAAATTTATAGGGCACATCAAAGAGTGTGGGTGCCGCGATGTCATTGATCTGAAGTACTATGTGGTATAGATTACACAAACAGAACATTTGTGTTCTCTTTGCTCTATATATAAAATAATCCCAATCTTGTGATAATATCATTTTTTGTGTATGTTGAATCTTGAAAATGAAGATTCATTTTTCAAAACATCGATTTAAAATAAAATAAAATGAAGTTGGAAAAAGTTTTTTCCTCCATTAAATTAAACGGGGAAGAAATCGAAAAAGAAAATATTTCATATTCGATGTCATGACTCGTTTAATCAGGATCAAAGGCGTTATGTTGAAAATTTTGCCACTGAATTATCACAAAATACTTCGTAGAGAACAACTTTGATCGACTGGATCAAAGTTATAGTCAAGCATAGAAATTTCATTGTTTGGATTTTGATTGAATTCTTTAGTAGATTTTTAACTAGTAAATTTTTGAAATTTTTCTTTTGACTGATTCAAGTTCATCTAGACCTAAAAAATTGTTTTGCTCTTTGATCCATTTACGTTCATTGTCAAACCTTTTCTATCAATTGAAATCATTAAGTGAAACTAAAATAGGTCACCAAATCGCATCTGAATTAGTTTTATTTCTAAATATCAATCGAAATCAGTTTATCTGTCGAAATTTGGTCAAAAAAAGTGATCAAATCTAATTGAAATTAATGAAAAACCATTGGAATTAGTAAAACAAACCGATTCAGAAATCATTTTGAGAGAACACATTGATTAAAATGTATCTAATTCAGTTTTTTTCAGTGCTTACAACTGATTTTCATCGATTTCAACTGGATGTGACGATAATTCTGATTAAACTATTTAATATTAAGTGATTTTAGCTGATGTAAATGAAAAAAAATTTTTTTCAAATACAATTTGGTATCTCATTTTAATTTCATTCAATTTGTTCTACATTGATTTCAATTAAAATCCGTTTTATATTAGAATCGTAGGCGGTTATTTCAATAATGCTACTTCAATTTTTTTTTCGTTCTGCGAAAATATTGTGAAGGTCGTTTGAAGCCTGTGTTTGTGTCGTCATCCTTACTCACATAACAAAGATAAGATGAAAAAAAAAATGAAAGTCATATTTTTGGTGATAACCGTTTGTAACTCATTACTCGATGAATAACACTTGATGCGATCGTAGGTGAGCCTCACTTCCTTTGAAAAATAGTAATTTAATGACAAATGCTTATTTGCAAAATGATTATCTATTATTAATGTATCAAGTTCTATGCATGCATCATAGTTGAGTATATAAGGCACGAAAGCTGACAAAATAAAATCAGTTAACCTTCACTGAATTTCTTTTATTCTCGTATCTAAACAAAGAAAGACGATGCGTTCGTTCGTTGTTCTGGCTGTTGTTCTACTACTGGTTATGGCTACCTATGCAAAGGTATAATTCTTTTCTTATTAAAGTCCTCTAATTCCGATGTATTGAGACTGAGCTTGTTCGTTTATAGCTGTATCGATTTCTTAGCAGAATATGCCTTACGCTTATGCAAAAAGACCTGTTTAATAGTTCTCAAACAATTGATTTTCAGCTTTCTTAAAAGTGAACATTGTCATTAGATCGACGATTGATTTAATAGGTAGAAAAGCTATATAGTTCATATTTCTTAACATATTGAAACAAGGCGTAGATATTTAAACCTTCAATGGCTACGACAAGTCCTCTCAACTGGGAACTGTAAGCGGTTGTGATGACATATCGTTTGTCCAGCTTCGACAGACATTTTTCTATATTTCAAGTTTTTCCTGCACACTTTTGAGCTAGAACTTTGAAAATGTCCCATTAGCAAAATCGAAAAACTCGGACGAGTAGAGCACTATTTTTTTTAATTTCGAAACATTATATCAATATTAGGTTTTGTAGTTTCAAGCTACTAAAATGTTTAGTCTTCTGCTTGTGTCAACTTGAAGAAGAAATTTTAAAAATGACACCAGCAATTGCTAGCTTGAGTACTATTCTGCCGAATGACCGACTTTGCTGTCGATACCACAGAAGTAGCTGTGAAAGAAAAGTTTTAGAGGGTGACTCAGTGTATCCAATTATCAGTAGTTTACAATTAGCCATGAAAAGCTTGAGCTAGTTTCGTCTATAGGAAAAAGGTTTTTTAGGTAAAAGATCGTAAAATTTTTTAAATTTTTATCCTACATAACTTGTTTCATACTTATAGGCTGGCACCGTGTACTGTAGCGGTGGTGCCAATGTTCGTTCCTGCTCATCTACCAGCTGTAGCATTGTCAGCTATGTCGTCGCAGGCAACAGCTATCCATCTGATTGTTATGTCATCGGTTCTTCAGTTACCATCGGTGGTTCAACTAAAGCTACGTGGTATCGACTTAACTTGAAGGCTGGTGGCAAGGGTTACGTGAGCGCCCATTATTGTTCGGGCAATGTTGGGAAATGTTAATATACTGGTCCCGCATAGATTGAACTCTACTTGCTTGTGATTTCGATTTTTTTCAAATATATCTCATTAATCTTGTGTAACTAGATTCTGATTAGAACACATTGGCGGAGAAAAAAAATGAATTGGATTGTGTGTAGAGAAAAGTGGTGTGAATGTGTGTACAGACGAGCAACTCTGCTTCAAAGTTGATGTTAACTTCCAAATTGATGATTATTGTAGGTGAAGTTCGAGTAGAGTTTCACTAGCATACAACCAAGTTAGCATCGTGTTGAAGTGATATATAACACTACTAGGATGAAGTTGGAATGGAGTTCGGTGTTGTCCTTTACAGCAAACTCCAACGTTATGTCATATTGTATGACGAATGGCTCAATGTTATTATTGATATTCTGAAAAACAGTTGTCAAATGATAATGCAGTAATACACAACTATAACACTATTGAGCTAATCACAGTAAACAATGGAGTAGTCCACAGACAAAGGTCCAAAATTCCATATAAAATAGTTCAGAATATTAAAATTCTCAATAGTTTTGTTATTTATTCGACATGAAAATCAACTATTAGTTTGTTCTTGAAATGTGTGTAAAACGGGTTCTAGTTAAAAAGCAATTAGACATATTTTAGAACTTTTGACATCAAAAGATGTTCAGATTTGAAACGTGTCTAAACGTGAATATTCACTAAAACGGGTTTAAACTCATCTAAATCCGATATTTGCTATCCACTACACATGTCTAAGCGGACATGCAGAACAATGAGATTTCGTCCATTTCAATGTTTGTTCTTTGCCAATTGATCGTATAACGTTTGAAAATTGGCAAATAATTTCATCTTTGACTTTCGACGTTCAGCGAGCGCCTCATGATAATTCACAAGAGGAAGCAACGATTTGAGATTTTGTGAATGAAAATAAGTTTACATAGTTTTCATAAGCTTAGATATTTTGACATGATTTACAATGAATTTATGCGATTTAATATAATATGAATGACTCTTTTACAAATGAACGGTTAGAGTTATTCACGATTATTATCTTCTGCACAACAAATAGCCTGTGCTGAAATGAAAGAAGGTATTCATTTTTTGCTAACTAGAATTAAAAGATCTAAATTAGTAATCGACATTGAATAGAATTGTTTCCATTCAAGTTACCTAATAGCAAGAAAGTTCTGACGTCGTTATTAGCTGGCGCATTTGCCAGTAAGAATAATTTATAAAAACCAGTTCTTTCAAGTGCTTCATTCAAATGCTGCGACAAAAACGGCAATTGCATCTCTTAATTGAACGAAAATTGTTTTTCAAAATGTTGCAGATATTGATCAGTAAAGGTGTTTTTTTGTATTGAACACTTGATAATGATAGTCGATTTGAAAAAAAGAAGATTTTTCAGTTCGACTGATTAGAGATGAATGAAATGTGATTAGGGTGTTTGAAAAAAATGATTTGTTGTTTTGTTTCGTTTTCGAGAGAATATTTCGTTATTCTGCTTGTTTGAAATATTTTGAAAATTCATTGTTTAAAGAATGTTTTCAGATTTACTCCATATGCAGGAACTGTTTATATATATATATATATGAATAATTAAAATATACTAGTCGAAGTAGAAATTAGTCGAAGTTTTCATCAAAAAAAAAAGAATATGTTATAGTGTTTTTACTGCTTTTCTTGGTCGAACAGTTTCTTATCGATTTGATAGAAATTGACGTCATTTTCAAATAGTGTCTGTTCTTCGTCTTAATGATTCTTCATTACATTTGACAGGTTTAACATTGAAATGACGACATGAAATGAGATCTTTATAAAGGTATCACAATGAATTGGATCAATAGAGTGTGAGGGTAAGTGCGGATAGAGCAAAGACTAACACTCACACCCACCATTCGTGGTTTTTACATCGTTTTCTTACTAATGACGGCTTAATCGTCGAAACCATCTACTGTATTATTAATCATCTGTTTATTTATTTTATCATGGAATAAACATTTCATCTCATGGAATTATGCTGTTTTCAAAGCAGCTGTCATATACACTTTCATAATCGAAAGTGAACACTTTTTACTATCGAATAGTTCCATTGAATATCCAAACTATACCCGAAGTTTCCTTCAGAAAGTCGTTTACAAAATGTTCAATGAAAATTCATCTGATCGATTATATATTTGACATGTCTTTTTGTTGTCCTGATTTTGTTGTTTCTAATAGTGGAAACTACAGATCTCTATTTTATTTCTATTCAGAGTTATTCGAAAAATGATAATCTGTCTTTTATTTTGAAACGGATACGAAGTAATAATATAGCAGCTAGATTATGTGTTTAAAATCTAGAGTTGTTACACATTGAAAGCAAGAAAATAGGAATGAACGAAAAATAAAAGTTGTATATAAGAATTGTTTGACAGTTTTTGTTCAAATCGATATTAAAAGCTGAAAAATGAGCTAAACAGGTCCGACAATCAAGTGGATTCAGTTGATTTATTCATTCCTTTTCGTACTTGTCTCGGTTGCCTCAGTCTAGAAAAAGAAAACAAAATTTTTTTTTTGACATTATTGGATGAGATGCATTTCTGACCTCGTCCGTGGTATCCAGTTTGACCTCTGTTCCAGAAATGGATTTGCATGATTCCTTTTTCTTGGCTTCATCCGCTTGAATTTTTTGTTGACATTCTTGTATATGTTGTTTTGCAGCATCATTTTTTGGATTCAATTTGAGAACAGCTTCAAAATCACGAATAGCTGCACGAAAATAACCCCATGCCAAGTGACATTGACCACGACGAAAGAGACATATTTCATTTTGTGGATCGAATATTAAAGCGTTGTCACATGCTCTTTCACATTTATCATAATCAGCCAATTTCAAATAGCATAAAGCTAAATTCGATTGAGCATCAAATTTTAATTGTCGAGATTGTTCTTTATCACTATCATTTGTAAACGATGCCGATAGGAGATAGTAATAAATGGTTTTGTATTTTTTGACAGCAAGTTCATAGTGACCACCCTTTGACAAGCGAAAAAGATAGGCATATCAAAAAAGAATCAAAATCTCCTACACACTTCAACGAATTCATCTCCACGTTTTTTCAATATTTCTGATTGTTGAAGTTTTTGTTCGTCGCTAAAAAATCTATCGTCTTTGGGCTGTAAAACAAATTAAGAATTGATCATAACAATGATTTTTAATTATCTCACCTGTTCGAGGTCGATTATGGTAACTTCGTACTCGACAGGTGAATCAGGTGGAATATGAAACTTTTCCACACCCTGCGTCCCTTTTGATTTTAAATATAATTTCCAATGGTCACCTTTGCTCATTCTGAAGACAGCATATTCAACACTAGAAAGGCAAATAAGAAAGTATTCGATGAAAATCAGTTACTCAAATGAATTCAAAATTCACCCTAGAGGAATATTTTGTAAACAACCTCCTCCAGCAATGAAACTGACTGTTCGTTCGTCAAATATTTGACCTTGATGCGTTCCTTTGAGATGAATTTGTACAGTAGCATCTTCTTTTGGCTGCTCAAATACTTCACCTCTTTTTATTATCCGTCGTATAATGCTTTGATCTCGCTCGTGGCTAATATCTTTACCTAAAAAACAAATATTCTCGAAAAATTTTGTTCTATTTTTTGACTTGCCTACACAATCAAGCAGTTCAATTTCGAAAATCACAGTTGTGGCGGATCCGACTTTGCCATTCAATCCTTTTAGACCATAAGCATATTTGGGTTTCGAAGTAAATCGTGAAATTTCTCCACGCTTCATGGTTGCCACACCAATATCCCATGCTTTGATCACCTCTCCTCTATCAAAATTGAAACTAACCTTCTCATTTCGCTCTCGAGTATTCTCGAATACTGTTCCATCAAGTAGAGTTCCAATATAATGAATATAAACTGTATCATCGAACATTGGTTTTTCATTGTCGACACCTTGACGAACAATTTCTTTGAGTAGACCTTTGAAAAACAAAATAAATCATTGAAATAGAAAACAAAAATCCATCTAAATATTTACAGCCATCTCTATTTGGTGAAATATCTTCGCCTTTCAGTTGAATTTGTTCTTCCTCATTCGAAGGCATCGTTATAATATTTATCTAAAAAGCCCATATTCATTCTTCATTTAGAAAAAAAAAAATTATGAAAGAGAATACATACACGTTTCGTGTATGCTTTGATTTGATCGTATTTTACACGTAATACTCTAGTTTATATTCGTCACGCATCAATAGATACTGCACGATAAAAAAAGCAATAATTATCGTCCATGATTTAAATTATAACAATAGATGTCATTTGAATGAGAAATTTCGTATTTTATTTTATTTATTTTCCTTCCCATTTAACGAAAAGTTACGATAAATAAAGAAAAAAATTTATCACAAATATTCGTAGTAGAATAGAGATCAAACGAAGTTGACTGGTGGTTATCACTACAGTAATCAATTTGTTTATGGTATCATTATGATGAGCTCATCATCAATTTATCGCTTTAAAGAAATTTAATGATGTGAACTCGTGTGAACAATATATTCAATCTTTGTCACATTTCGATCGAGTTATTTTCATCTTTAACCATCGATTCAGTCAGTAGCTTACTCCATGCCTTCATCAAATTTGACAAGAATAGATCATCTATACTTAGTTTTCTATCGAAAATCTTCAATTCTAGATTATGATTTTAAAAGCTTATTGAGACTCTACTTTTCAATATTGGGACAGCATCACGAATGTCGAAGCAAAGAATAAATAATACCTATTATGCCAAGCTTCAATTGCTCGATTACTTCTTCAGCTACTAGCAAATTCTATTCCTTTGTCAAAGTCTCTTTCGTTGCATGAAATTGTATCTCAGGTCAGAAAAGACTCTTAGTGAATGATCCTACAAGCAGTTATTTTTATGACTGAACATCTATCTTTAATAACTGAATATCTCATCTCTATAGCTTAACCTAGTCACAATGTTTATACGATGCACACACAGAAACCTTTCTCTCGTTGGAGTATGGGTGTAGAGTACGGATATGGATGTGTCTCTGTTTATCAACCACACTTACACTCCTGTTACTATTTCCCATTCAGTAAGGAGGGAGAAAACTTTGACTTGAAACTTACACTAACTGATTTATTCGAAAATATATATGAATGCCACAAAATTGATACGATTGAGTTATGAAAGAGTTATTGATGAAATCCAATGATATATTTTTCAGAATATTTTTTCCTTAATATCAATTAACAGAGGAAAAAAAATATATTTCGTTACGAAGAATGAAACTGTAGAAATAAATAAGCCAAAATTCAGTTTGCAGCTATGGTATGTCTACGAGCGGATCATATTAGACTTGCCACAATTGAATAATATCGTCCAGAAATGACACTATGCATTCAACAATGGAGTATCATTCAATCATCATTTCTGTTCTAAACTTGCTCAATGTATCTTACGTCAACAATCTAGATTTGAGATCGATATTGAACGAACTCATCCGTGTAAACAACCTAAGAAAAAGAAAAAAGTTTGCACAAATCTTGATGAATGATTGAAAAGAATCATGATATCTTATAACGTCAAGGTCAACATTATTGAGAAATATTTAATTCAAATTGCTATGAATTTGATAATAATCATTGGAGTTTATTGAAATAACTTTTTTTTTCATATTTCTGTAATGAAAATGACTATTCACAATTTTAGACGAAATGTAAGAGAAAGGAGTGTCATGTTGCGGAGAGCAGTCGACATGAGAATGTAAGTTGTTAGTGTGGATGTGTACAAGCTCTTATAATTGTTTTCTCATCATTAATTGCTTCACTCGTATCACTATATATTTGCCTTCAATCACTTGCTTTTCGATAGTTAGTTAGGATTCGGCTCTTTTTCAGTCTTTACTAGACATAACACAGTTGCGTCCGGCTCTTTTTGCGGCATAGAGCTGAGAATCAGCTTGAAAAATGAGTTCGTTCTCTTCGGTTGCATCGTCGGGAAAAGTTGCAATACCAATGCTAACTGTCAATAGAATATGATGTTGATGCACATTCGAAAAAGACGCATCTTGAATGACTTGACGCAATCGTTCAGCAACAGACTTGGCTTCTGTGATGCCGGTCTGTGGACATATCACGACAAATTCCTCGCCTCCATAACGATAAATACTATCAAATGCGCATAAGTTTCTGCGAAGCAGGTAGGTCACATGAGCAAGAACACAGTTGCCGATCTCATGACCATATCGGTCGTTGATGTGTTTGAAGAAGTCCAGATCAAGCATCAGTAGTGAAAATCGATATTTGTGATGCGCTGCACGCTGAATTTCTTCTTTCAAATGATAACGAAGTGCTCGGTAATTCATGAGACCAGTTAAATCGTCGATAAACACTAGTCTTCGAAGATACTCTTCCTTATACATGCAATACAGTGGAAAGGTTATGTACCTAGCAAAATCTTGTAGCTTTTCACGAGCATTGAAAGTCAACGGTTCCGACTGATTAAAGGCAACGAACAATACTCCGAATGATTGATGATCTGGTTGACGGAGGAGTATGATGATGTAAGAATGTGCCTCAATAGCCAGTGTCGCGAAGGAGGAAAATGACTTTTCTAAGATATTAGGAACGTAACTCATTCCATTTGGATTATGATTGAGCTTACTAATTTCATCATTATCTTGGTCGAGATGACTTTTCTGCAGTTTGCCTATCACACCATGAGTAACGAACTGTTTGGTTTCAACATCTAGCAAGAAAATTGCGGCAGTTTGGTATGACTGAATTCTTCGTAGAGCAGTCAATACAGTCATCGATGCATCGTCGAAATTGGTACATTTATGAATTCCTAAAGGAGAATAGAATTCATCATTAGTCTCTTGCAAATCGTAAATAAGCGTTGTCCATCGTTTGTGTTTCGAAGGGGTGGCATGGCCACTCATGATGGCGACAAGGTTGATACAAAAGTTCCATGCTTTCGTCACAGTGAAGTACAAAATTATTGGTAGCATCATTAGAATGAACACTGACGTGTCAAGTTCAAACCAGTAAATCAATATGCTAAACATGAGGCTTAGGCTGATTATATACCAATTTAAATCTATAAAGACGATCAGACATAACAATAGTGAAAGAAGAGAGACCTTCATTAAAAAATAAACAGAACTTCAAGTCGACCGAATTTCTACAATAAACAGTACTAATCTTGAACAAAAGAAAACATATGGGCGATATTGGAGGGGGGGGGGGAGGGGGGGGAGGGGGGGAAGAAAAAGACCAAATGTAAGTTTATCAAAACATGTCACCCCGTTAGACGAAGAATAATTTAACAGTAAGTCGTTCATTCTAAACAGTCGGTACGATTGGAAGCGACTAGATCACAAACCTCACAATGTCCGAATTACTCTTGCGAGAACCAAAAATTTAATGATCATTAAATCGAGATTCTACCATGAAGATATTCATTATTGTGAAATTTGGCTACACACTCATACTGAATATCGATAGGAATTGATCATTTGATCGAACTCCAAAATATGACTCACGAGTGATATATGTGACGATTTCTAATGGAAGCAGTGTTAGCACTGGTGGAATTACACTTTATTATATTCTTCTCCTCAAGAATCGCATCGTTTCCATACAAAGCATACACTTATATACTCGTCCATCAGACAGAAGAAAGGAGGAGAAGGACAAAGTGCAACATGATGTACGAAGTAATGACAGAAAGATAAGGACAATACATAAGATGAGAAGAAATGGTCAGAAGAGGAAAAACATCATGCATACAATGCATGACACGGAGACGTTACAATATAAACATTTCTTTGATATTCAATTTATTGGTGACTGTCAATCTCTAAGATTTTGGTCGGAAATGATCCCAATCGATTAAGGATGGAATGCCGATGTATGCATGCATGTACAAGTGAAGATTAGATTCTTCTCTTCATCCACATCCTTCTAATTAAATGTATTGTCTATTCACAAGTTATTTGTCTAGTTTGCTGAAGAAAATTTTTAGATCTTTTATTATGTGTTATGACGAGAACATCTCTCGAAATGTTCCATCAGATTGGATATATATTTGAATATGAAGTAGATTCGGACCATAACTCAGTCTCATTGAATTTACTCAATAAGAAGTTAAACATTATCTTTGTTTTGACTGATGAAATATCATTAAAGTGGATTCTACGTAAGAAACCTATTCATATGAATGAAGCATTCTTTAGTAAATAAAATAATGGTATGATTGTAAAACGTTCATATCTGATGAGAATGTAATGAATTTTGATCTAGTTAAACGAAACTAATAACAATTAAATAAAAACGATGAAATTGTATAATTTTATGTATCGATTAGTATCTTCTAATTATTCATATTAATTGATTCAGTTACTATTTGAATATATGCTTTCATAATCAGCTATACCTGAAATCGTTATTTTCATGAGACATCTTAGATATGGTAATAAAATGATACTGCATCTTATTTTAGTAACTTCGTTTTAAGAAAATAGGTTTAAAGAATCAAATAATTACTTGAAGAGTGTATTTCGAGTAGTCTATGTGGTAGCCGCTTTGGTTTTGAATAAATAATATAGATGTTAGATGCTGGGTTGAGATAATTTAACTATAGTAGTGAACAACAATTTTAGCAGTCGAAATTATGGTTTCAGTTGTCTTCAATGGGTATTTTTAAAAATTGAATTCAGTCATGAATAAAGACCATCCATCTTCGAATCATATTCTATAATGTCGAGACGAATGCTAGCTGTTTCATCGTAAAAGGTGAATCACATACTGCTGCTAATAGTAGATATTATTCGCAAACGTAATCTGCTAGGTTTGACTTCAGTGGCTTTCTGAAAATAGTGATCTCATGACTATTCTGTAAGAAAAAAAGTATAATTTTAAATTTCGTGAAGAAACAAAAACTATAGTCAGGATACACATCGTTACATCAATCAGGCGTGTCTTCTTTATAATATATGAGTATCCATTGCACAACATGATTTATTTCTTCCAAAAATAGCTACTTATCAGTAGAAACGATTTTTTTCAACAGAGGAAAGAAGAGGAAAAAACG